GACAATGAGCTGGTGCTGGAATTCAGGCCTCTGAGATTTTTGACCCTTTCCTGGGTAGCACCCCAAAAGGGAGCACGTGGAGGGACAGAAATGGCTTTTGACCATTGTACTGAGATAAAATTCACAGGTTACAAGCCATCCATTAAAACTGTAAGCTCAGGGGTTAAAGAAATAGCTCAGTGGTTAAGACCACTGACTGTTCTTGCAGAGGACCAAGGTTTGATTCCCAGCACCCACATGGCAGCTAACAATTGTCCATAGCTCCAGTTCCAAGGTATCCAATGCCCTCTTCTGACTTCTGTGGGCATTGTATGACACAGGTGCACTTACATACATTTAGGCAAAATACTCATACACATAAAATAAAAATAATAATTTTTTTTCAATAACTTCACACTCCTCAGCTACTTAAAATTTCCCATGTACTAAACAGGGAAGCAAAGCACAGGGCTAATTAAATTAGCTGATCTTTCTTGTCCAGGGAGTGAAATCTCCAGGAAGACCTTCAATGAGGAAATGTTCTTATTGTTTGGGAGGAGTTTCCAATTCTCTTCTAATGTACCTAGAAAGGGCATAACATATCCAGATTAAACCTCCCCACAGTTAGTCACTGCGACTTCAAGATAAGGCTCCTTTCTCTAGGGAAAGACAGTCTTCAGATATAAAATTGGCTGGAGTCTCAGACAGACAGCATTAGTTCTAGATTCCTTAGATTCAGATGACTCTATGTATCTTTCCCACCTAAGACAGAGAGTTCTAGACACTTCTGGTCCAGGTGAACCCATGATTATCTGCCTTCTCTGGTTCCCTTCTGATCATCAGACATCCAAGGCTTATGGGACCCCATCCTGTTCTTACAAACCCAGGTCATTTTCTGTGTGATTTGATTAGACACCACAAACCTCAAGGTCATATGCTCTCTGACAACACTGACTAACCCTGAACGTAGCCTCAAAGAAATATTGCTTTATTCATGGTTCTAGAATCAACTCCCACACATCATCTGGATCAAATATTTGCTCAAATTCAGCTCAAAGCTCAAATTTATGCCATTTCAGAATCTCGAAAAGAACTTGCCCATGATCCTCAGAGACAGCGAGGAAGCAAGCTATCAGCCTCAGGCACCTACCAGGTTATCTGATACTCCTGGGGCTATGTAAAATCTAAGTTCTCTGTCTAGAACTTGTAATGCTAATTACTCTTGCCTTTACTTCTCCTTCACATCTCCTATTCATGATTCAACATTTTCTTCTCCCCTTAGAGACAAGAGTTATGCAATTTGGGAGTCTTTTAGATAGACCCACTGAAGGGGTACTCTAATTGCCTCACCCTGTGTCCTTGTCAGCACGGAAGACGCCAGAGAGGTCTGTGTCCCGATTCCCTATTGGCAATTTGGGTAACCCCTTTAGAGGATGGTGTTATAAGAATATGAGGTAGGAATTGGTTAGGCAGTTAGGGTAAAAACACCTCAAAGAAAATTATCCAGTTTCTTTGTTAAAACTCACAATGTCCTTGGGCCTCTTAGCAGCATACTCTGATCCAAAGGCCAAAAATGTAGAAAATATTTGGGAGCTTTTATCTAATCCTTAAAAGATTTTATGGTTACCTCTTCAGAGGGGAGAATGTTAGAGTAGCCAAAAGTCCCATGAAAATAATAAACAAATCAAAGATGAAAAAAGAGTAAATGAAGTTATCAGAAAAAAGTGATGGGAGATATGAAAAGAGTTGGAAGGGAGGGAGTGGGCATGGATTTGATCAAAACACCTTATATGCATGTATGAAATTCTCAATAAATTATTTATTTAAAAAAAAAAATTCCATCTGTGCCTAGGTGCCTCCTCCATCCGTGCCATCCGCTCACTCCTGCCCGCTCTCTACCTATCACTAGGCAGTTAGGGTAAAAAGACCCCAAAGAAATACAGTTTCTTGGCTAAAAGTCAAAATGTCCTTGGGCCTCTTAGCAACATACTCTGTTCCAAAATCCAAAAATGTCAAAAAGTATTTAGGAGCTTGTATCTAATCCTCAAAATATTTTAGGGTTACCTCTTCAGAAGGGGGAATGTTAGAGGGGAGGGAGTGGGCATGGATTTGATCAAAATACCTTATATACATGTATGAAATTCTCAACAAAGTTTTTGTAAAAGTTAAAAATAAGGGCCAGGCGTGGTGGCATGTGCCTTTAATCCCAGCACTCAGGAGGCAGAGGCAGGCAGATCTCTGTGAGTTTAAGGCCAGCCTGGTCTCCATAGCGAATTCAGGCCAGCTAGGGCTACAGGGAGACCCTGTCTCCAAAAGACCAAAAAACAAAGCCAGAGGATTCATACATTCCAATTTGAAACCTGTACCACTGCAGTAACCAAGATATTGTGGTATTAGAATGAGACACATTTGGGTCACATGAAGGTTAGGATCAGTTGATCAGTCTTTGCAAAGAAATTAGGGGGTTTTGATATAGATGACATTGAATCAGTTTAAGGAATATTGCCATCTTAAGGCTATTACCTCTGCCAACCCATAAACATAGTTCATCCTTCTGTTTATGTCTTAACTTCTTTTAGAAATATAGTTTCAAAGACTGTATTTGTACTTTTCCTTTTCATATAGAGTCTCACACTGAAGTCCATGCTGGTCCGAAATTCACTATGTAGCACAGGCTGGCTTCAAACTTGTGTCAATCCTCCTGCTTCGGCCTCCCACATGCTGGGCTTAAGGCTGTGAGCCCCATGCCCAACTGTTTTGAACCTTGTAAATTTAAGTTATTTCTATGTTTTTAATTCTTTTTTTGTTTGAACTCATTTTCTTAAATTTCTAATTTTTTTTTGTTTGAAATCATTTTCTTAAATTTCATTTTTATTTACTCATTTTTGCTTTATAGAAATACAGTTAATTTTCCATTGTTGATTTTTTCATTATGCAACTTTGCCAAATCATGTAATAGCTCTTACAGTTTATTAATGAATTCCTTCAGACTTTCTACCTACAAGATGGTGTCAAATACATTGTAGTTTATTTCTTTCCAATCTAGATGCCTTGTATTTCTTTTTGTTGACTAATTATCTTGTCTAGGAGTCCCACTATCATGTTGAGTAGAAATGGTGGCTGTAAACATTCTTGTCTTTCCCTTATCTTAGGGGGAAAATATTCAGTCTTTTGTCATTAAATATTATGTTAGCTATGGAAACTTTGTAAAGAAACTTTATCAAATTAAAAACTTTCCCTTTGATTACTAGTTGATTTTTGTTTTGTTTGGGGGGGCTTATAAAGTGCTATGGTATTCTGTCAAATATCTTCTGCATCTATCAGATATGAGCTTTGTCCTTTATCAATGTGTTATTATCAATGTGTTCATTAAGTTCAAATGTTGAACTTTGCATTCTAAGAAATAATACCACTTGTTCACACTAACTTTTTCTACATTACTAGAGTTGATTTGCTACCATTTTGTTGAGGATTTTTGTGGCTATAGTTGTAAGAAATTTGGGTCTATCATTTTCTAAGGGGTATATTTTGACACTAGCCTCATAGAATAAGTTAAGAAATGTCCCTTTTCTTCCATTTTTGGAAGAGATGTGATGAATTGGTAGAATTCTCTAGTGAAACCGTCTGGTCCTATTAGGATTTTCTTTGTGAGAAGTTTTGAGTTACTATTTCAATCTATGCTATTTCAGTCTCACTATGTATTATATATCTATTTATTCTCAAGTCCAATTTGTCATTTTATGTCTTTCTAGGGATTTTCAACTTCATCTAAGTTCTTTGCTTCACAGCCAGGCAGCTACTCACTGTGCCCTTTGCAGTTCTGTATTTCATGAAAGTCAGTGACCATGTGGGATGGGCCTCTAACTCTCTACTTCAAAATGCAATGTGTTTGAAGTCTTATGCCTCATTGTAAAAAGCAAAGTTATGTTAATATGTCAATTTTAATATAAAAATTAATATTTTTACCACTAAGTAAAACTGTAGCGCCAGCAAGAGTTTCTCATTTTTATTCTGTTGTGAGCTCACCCTCCAAGCTAGGCCTAGATCCCCTTGTTTGAGATGCAGTTTAGCAAGATAAATTCTCCACAGTCAGGATTCAATGGCTTCCTCATCTGTCCCTAACCATACAAAAATCCTAAGTTGAATTACCAAGGTTCCACTGTAGACCCACAAAGTGGAGAAGCACAGTTAATAGGTTACATTGGATCAGTTCACCAAACTCCCCTGTGTTCTCATAAGGCATATATGTATATTTTCTGTGTCAGTGTGCTCTGTTGATGCAGTTCAGAGACACTTATACTGGTAGGTCTTCTGTTATCTCTAGAATAAAAGCAGTAGAAGCTCATCAGGCAAGTTGAACTCTCCCCTCAGATGAACAGCAGAAAGGAATACAAGTTGTTTTCTTTTAACTCCGGCCAAAGAGATCGTAGCCCACATTCTTATATTCCTTGCTATAAAAAGAAAATGAGCTGGACGTGGTGGTGCAGGCGGATCTCTGTAAGTTCAAGGCCAGCCTGGACTACATAGCACAGTAGTTAAGAGCACTGACTACTCTTGTGGAGGACCAAGGTTCAATTCCAAGAACCCACACGGCAGCCAACAACCATTCATAACTTCAGTTCCAGGGCATCAGATGACCTCTTTTGGACTGTGTACACCTATGATACACTCACATACATGCAGGCAAAACACTCAGACACGTAAGATAAAAATAATAAAAGATACTTTTTTAAAAAGAAACAAAACAAAAAATTAAAGAAAATGAAACTCCAAAATATAACTATAATTTTATAATAAACAAGATCTTTAGTATGTGCAGAAAAGTAAAATTCACAAAAATCTTGGGTGGAAATGATGTTTTAATAGATATATTAACTTTAAAATTACCAAACCCTTAAAAATTAATAGTCAAATTAAACATTAATCATTCAATCTTAGTTCCTTACCTAAGCAATCATTAAATCACATTTTCGCTATGATAATAACAATATATTCTATTTGCCCCTCTTTATTTTTCTTAGAAAAGCTGTTCTTGAAAACCACCTGCCATTTCTTGGTTCAAATATTTGGATCAGACATCATAAAACTGTGAGTACACCATGACGTAGGAATCTGATTCAACTGCTGGGACAGGGAGGGGACAGGGAAATGGGACAGGAGGTAGCTTTCAGCTTGGTGTGTTACTGGACAAGGGCTGGCGCAGTTCTCCAGTCACCACTAACGGTGGGAAAGTAACAAGAGATTCAGACCCTTTGTCACTCTGATAAAGCTTCCCTGGAACAGCAGTGTGGAAACCTGCCTCCATTTCTCTCCAACAGACTTTCACGGAGGATTTCCGAACAGCATTACTATATCCACCCACACAGACAGCAGACCCATCTCCTGAGCTGCCAGCCTGTGCAATTGTGCCCCTGCTCTTCCGCTGACCTCCAGTCTCCTTCCTCCTCCTTCCTGTTCCTATGTCCCCTAGCTCCTACATAGCACTGCTGTTTGTTTGTTTTCTTTCTGTTTATCTTCCTCCTGTCTTGACTACTGTTTGCAGCACTGGATCAGGAAAGTCATGATACTTCCTCAGCAATGATTACATGGTTTTCTTATATCTATGACTTATTCACTCAGTTTCTTTGAATCATAGCAAGCACTGGAAGCCATGCCCCTAAACAAATACTCAGACCTAGATAATCACTGAGTCTAACTACAAGGTCTCTTATTATAAGTTCTCGGACATGAGCATCATCCCAGACTCTGTTCATTCTTCTATTCATATCATTTTACTATAGTTTCATTATAATGAAAATATAAATTATGGGCTGGCAAGATGACTCAACAGGTAAAGGTACTTGCCACCCAAGCCTGGAGACTTGAGTTCAATCCCTTGAGTGTACATAAAGGTAGATGGAGAGAACAAGCTCCATGAAGTTGTCCTCTGTCCTGCACATCAGGATACCCACATGCTGGCCTCCCAACTATACATACACCCAACAATAATAAATAAAATGTATAAATATTATATAATGTATATTTTGTAATTCCTTAAAAGGATTTTTTTAGTTCTCGTAACTCTATGTCTGAGATCCATCCACATAGTTGAATCATCACTGTAGCTCATTCACACCAACTGTGTAGAATATTGCATTGTGTCTCTAGGGCCCCTATTCATGCACACTCCTGTTGATGGATGTGTGGGTTCTTTTCTGCTTTCTCTCTTGTGTGGTGCTCCTATGACATTCTTACAATGTGTCATTAACCTGAGAGTCAAGTGTATGTTGCAAGTCTCAAAAGACAGTGTTATCCTCCTCTACAGTGTATCCTAGAGCCACAGAACTTTAAAGACAGAAGTTTAAAGTCATCTAGGCCTAGGAGATAATCAGTGCCCCTCATGTGCACCTACCTCTATCAATATTAACTCGTCCATTATGGCAAATGGGTTCTCCGGTGTCCTGGCTATTGTTGGAGGTAGGAACCTCTCTTTTAGATAACACCTCAATTACTGTCACGGTCTACTAGAGTCAGCCTATGGGCTTGCCAGTTGTGCCAAAATTTCATAATTTACAATTCTATAGAAAACTGATATCTTTCTAAACAAACATAACTATGGCATCCCCTTATGTAACATTATTCAAAATCTGCATACCGTTCTCAGGACTCCTGACCTCATACACTTGACTCTTCGTGAACTGGTGCTGAGGGCTCTTCTAAACTCAGTCCTTTCTACCCCACAGCACAGCACATTCCACAGTGCTTTCCCTGTACTGTAGGAATATTTTTGCCTAAAGACCTCTACAGGTGTTTCCTATGCTTAACACATCTAAAACCTCAACTCCCACACACAGCACCCGACTTCTTTGGGCCTCCGCTCCAGGTCACTTCTTCTGAAAGCTTCTCTGATCCCCTCCAAGCTAAAATGGACATGCCAGTCCTACCACATTTAAGCAAACTGGCATATAAACACACATGCATGCATACACATACCCTTAGTACCTTGTACAAACCTCTAGCTCATCATTTATCAGGTATGCTGGTAATTTAATTACCCCTCTACTTTTCTGAGGGCCTGCTAGGTTGAAAGCTTTCAAAAGGCACATATTTTATTCTCTTCCTGTCTGTAGGTATTTAGCAAAATACTATGTGTGGAAAGAAAGAAGGTGGAAAGACAGTTTTGAACAAAGATAGAGGCAGAAAATGCTTCTGTCCATCACTTGCTCCAGCACCGTCAGCTCCACACTGAGGGAGTCCTCAGGGATGCACTCTTTTGAAGCCTGACTTAAGCAATCACAAACAGTTGTGGATTTATGTTGACCCTGAAAGTGACAGCCTCATGATTTAATTTTACCTGAATATTAGTCTTTCGATATAAATGTATTCTCTGACCTAGAGGGCATTTCTCCTATTATCTCATACCAGTCAGTTCTCCATAATACATGGACTAATTATGTAGCAATTACATTTTCTATTGTATTAGTCAGGGTTCTCCGAAGAAACAGAACCAGTAGAATGAATATGTATGTATAGGGATTTATCAGCTTAGCTTACAGGATAAAGTCTGAGTTGTCCAACAATGGCTGCACCACACTGGAGAGGCTGAAAATCTGTAGTCGTTTAGTCCATGAGGCTGGATGTCTCAGTACTCCCAATCTGGCACTGAAGGTCTGATGAATTCCAAAAGATCAACTAGTCTTCAGTCTACAGCAGCAAGACGAACTCAGCAATGAGAGAGAAGGCAAGCAGCAAAAAGCACAGTGCTCTCCTCTGCCATGGCCTTTTACACAGGCTGCCATCAGAAGGTAACACCCACATTTAGGGTGTGTCTTCCAGGTTCAGATGATCCAATCAGGATCTCTCTCATTCAGTAATACCAGATCCAGTCAAGTTGACACCCAGGATTAGCTATCACAAATCCACCCCTCGTCAACTTGACACCCAATAGCATCTCTCTATGTCATGTTTAATTTTCAAATGAAAACAATGGTGAGGTCATAATTTCATCTAACATGATATAACTATCCTAGCATACAATGACCAATGCATTATGTATCTTAGAGTAGGTGATAAGGTCTTTGAGGAATGATTAGTCCTTTAGTATCTCATAACCCAGTATGATCATATAGGTTCTCAGCACTTAACCATTTAACACTTATCTCAATTACACATTCAAAAAGAACAACACAAGTATCTGCTTAACATATGTGTGTATATGCACAAGCCCATTCCTAACCAAATAGGACAAAAACATGTCAATTACAATCCACGTCTCTGCAACTGGTCACGTGGCCTAAGTTGATATTTGTAACTACCTTCCTCTACTCCCCATTTTGTATTTCCTCCACCATCAGCAAGCACCTCTACAGGTTTTGGCTCTTTCCTTGGAGGAGCGACCCATACTTTCATCCCTGAAGGGTCTGGGCCATTTGTTGTCCTGTCTGGATTGGGTTGTTGCAGTTTCCCATTGACCTTAATCACAGGACATGGTAAAACCAAAAGTCGCCCTAAGGAATCTCCTGCCTTCCAGATATAATCTTCATTACCTCCATTGTGGAGAACTAGTCCTATTTCCCCCTGGTAGTCTGGATCAATCCCCCTCCTAATACTGTTATTCCTTTCTTAGCCTGCAGACTTAAGGGCATCAGAAGCCCAAAGTGGCTGGGGTGGGGCGGGGGGGGGGCTTAGCTTAGCTTCCAGTTCAATGGAATGTTTATTACATCTTCTGGCAGAAGCACTCCCTCCTCTGGACCAAAACTTCTAAGCCAGCAGAGTGCAAAGTTGAGGGTACAGGAAGCAAATTTTTTCTTAGTGGGTCACTAGGGGTGATAGTGAGTGGACTCATTCCCACTTCCGCCCCTTGATTCCTGGACCCATGACTCCTGGCTATAGGAGAAACTATACCACATATTGGATGCTGATTCAAAGCATACACTGCCTTCTGGAGGACCTGCCCCAGCCCTCCAGCTGTTGCCACCTAATTGACACTGTAACTGTGTCTTTAAGAGACCATTCCATCATTCTATCAAACCAGATGCTTCAGGATGTTGGGGAACATGGTAAGACCAGTGGATTCCATGACCATGGGCCCGCTGTCGCACTTCTTTGGCTGTGAAGTGAGTTCTCTTGTCTGAAGCGATGCTGTGCAGAATACCATGACGGTGGATAAGGCATTCTGTAAGTCCCTGGATGGTAGTTTTGGCAGAAGTATTACATGACATGCAGGAAAGGCAAAATCCATGTGGAAGACTTTGGAAGTTTGGGCTAGAAAAGCAGTTGATTGCTGTAAGCAGAGCTTAATAGGTCATTCTAGTAGACTCCTGGAAGAAAGTAGTGCTGAGAACAATGTAGTTCCAGAGGGAAATAGGATTTGAGCAGCACTTGGGATATTTTGGCAACGAGTCTGGCTGGAGTCTGCCCTCCACCAAAAAGCTTGCCTGAGGCTAAGTTGGAAAGCAATGGACTAATTTCTCTGGCAGAAGAAATTTCAAGACAGCCTAATGGTGAAATGGTGGCATGGCTATTAATGGTAAATATTATACAGATCGACAGTGAAAAAGAGCAAATGGGGCAGAAAGAAATACAGAGTTTGGGTTGAAAAAGAGCACCAGGAAGATAAATGTTGGAGCCCTGGCATGTGGTGGAGAGGATCCCATTGATAAAGAGATTAAAGTGATTAAGATTAAAGTGATTAAGGAGGGCCCTAGAGATTCAAACTTAAACAATGGCAAGAACGCCTCCAGGGCAAGACCACACCCAGTTAAGCCTCCAGCTTGTGAAAGGAAGATGCTGCAGGGACCACTGAAGAGAAAAGCTTCTAAATTGATAAAGGATAAAGCAGGCTGGAGTCCATCCCAAACTTGCAGTCAAACTTGACATTATCATTCACCTGGTGCTGGCTTTAGAGGCATGAAAGAGTGAAGGGGTCATCATTCTACCTCCTTGGTTTCAGAGAGCCTTGGAGGACAGGCAGCATGTACCAGGGGTTCTCCTGCATAGAGAAGGCCCTGATAGGCCATTGCATGAAGCTGTGAAGGTGAAGCCTGGTTGGCAGTGGAGATCCCAAGAAGATGTTCATGATGCCAGAGCTGTGAGGCATCTGCCAAGAA